GCGTCCCGCGCTGCGGTCCTTCCAGGCGTGTACGCGTGCCGGACGCTGCGTGCGCGCCGACGAAAGCGTGCGCGTGTCCGCCGACGTGGGAAGCGCGCTCGGCGCTGGGAGGGGCGTGACGCCAGAGGGGCTGGGCTCCAGGCAGCGCGGGGGCGGTGCGCGTGCGGGTAGGTGGTCTGCGCGCGGACCCGGGGGGTTAGGTTTTCCGAGGTGCCGCCGCGGTCTCGAGGGGCCCGGCCTAACCGAACTTGTTGTCAGTCCCAGTCAGGGCCGTCGGAGAGACCCAGCTTCACCGCGGCGCCACGGCGACCCGGGGGTGCGGAGGGGGCAGCTGGCTGAGCGGACCAACGAGGCGGGGTTCGGATCCGGACGGAGAGGACCCCTGTGACTGGGGGGGACGGGGGACTGGACAGAGAGGACCCCTTGGCTGGGTCGGAGGGGGACACTGGACAGAGAGGACCCCTGGGACTGGGGGAGACTGGACAGAGAGGGTCCCTGGGACTGGGGGGGAAGGGGGGACTGGACACAGGATTCCTGGGATTGGGGGGGGAAGGGGGACTGGACACAGGACCCCTGGGATTGGGGGGACTGGAGACAGAGGACCCCTGTGACCTGGGGACAGAAGACCGCTGGGCAGAGAGGATGACATCAATGAAGAAGGACTTGTCCTGTTTACTCCACACCAAGTCCCCTGACATTAATCATGGCAATCATGCTTTCCAGACATATATACAGTAGATTTACTTGTCAAACCAGTTTGTCAACAGAAGGGTTCTCCAAGCTAAGGCATAAGTTATTGTGTAAAATACATATAATATAGAAGTTATTATTCAACCATCACCCGTATCCACCTCCAGATGCATCTTTTTTGTTAACAAGCTTATTTGAGGATCATGTACATACTGTAAGATTCACTCCTTTAAGTGAAGGTGGTTTTCTTAAGAGTTGCAGAACCACCACTACAATCTAATTTCAGAAAGTTTTCATCATCCTGGAAAAATTCCCAGTTCCCTTCTTCCCTTCATCCTCTGGTAACCACTAACTAGACATTTCATCTAAGTGGAAGCATACATGATGGAGTCTTCTGTGACCGACTTCTTTCTTTCAGCAGCATCTTAAAGCTCATAGTGTAGTGGGCATCAGGATTTAGTCCTTTTTATTGCTGGTTAATATTCCATTATATGGATATATGCATTTTATTTATCCATCAGCTAATTGACATTTGGCTGTTTCCACTTTCTGACCATTATGCATAATGCTGCTGCGAACATCTGTGTAAGTTTTTGTATGGATTTAAGTTTTCATTTTTCTGGGTATATATGTGTGGAATGCCTGGGTCTTATGATAACTGTGTTTAACATTTTGTGGAATTGCCAAACTGTTTTTAAAAGTGGCTGCACTTTTTTTTTTTTTTTTTTTTTAGATTTTATTTATTTGAGAGAGTGAGCCAGGGAGAGCACAAGTGGAGGGGGAGGGGCAGAAGGAGAGGGAGAAGCAGACGCTTCACCTACTGAGCCCCCCAGGTGCCCCTAGGCCGCACCTTTTAACATTCCCAACAGCAAAGTGTGAGGGGTTTGATTTCTCCACATCTTTGCCTACTTGTTATTTGCGTATTTTTTATTACGGCCTCGTGGTCGATGTGGAGTGATAATTGTCATTTTGACTTGTATTTCCATAATGGTTAGCAGTCTATAGAGCATCTTTTCATATACTTATTCTCCATTTGGAGAAATGTCTGTTCATATCCTTTGCCCATTTAAAAAATTGGATTAGTTATCTTTATTATTGAGTTTTAAGAGTTTTCATTAGATACATGTTTTTAAAATATTTTTTCCATTCTGTTGATTGACTTTTCACTTTTTATTGGTATCATTTGCAGCACAAAAGTTTTAAATTTTCATTAGTTCCTGTTTATTTTTCCTTTTGTTGCTTGTGCGTTTGGTGTCATATCTAAGAAAGCATTGCCTAACTCAAGGTTGTGAATATTTACTTCTGCTTTCTTCTAAGAGTTTTATAGTTTTAACTTCTTTTTTTTTTTTTTTTTAAGTAAGCTCTAGGCTCAGCGTGGGACTTGAACTCATGACCTGGAGATCAAGCGTTGCATGCTTCACGGACTGAGCCAGCCAGGTGCCCCCATTAACTTTTACATTTAGGTCTATGATCACTTTGGGTTAACTTTTGTGTATGTTGGTGTTGGGTGTCCAACTTCATTCTTTTCCATGTGGATATCCACTGTTCTGGCACCATTTGTTGGGAAGATTATTCTTTCCCTGTCAAGTTGTCTTGGCACTTTTGTTGGAAATCAGTGGACTTCAAATGTAAGGATTTATTTCTGGATTGTCAATTCTATTCCATTGATTTGTATGTCTAACCTTATGTCAGTACCACACTGTCTTGATCAGTGTAGCTTTGTAGTAAGTCTTGAAATTAGGAAGTACGAGTCCCCCAACTTTATTTCTTTTCATGATTGGTTTGGCTATTCTGGGTCTCTTGCGTTTCCATATGAACTTTAGGATTAGCTTGTCAGTTTCTGCAAAAAGGGCAGCTGGGATTTTGATAGGGATTGTGCTGACTCTGTACATCAATTTAGAGAGCACTGTATTGCCATCTTAATGTTAAGTCTTCTATGGGCATAGGATGTCTTTCCCTTTACTTAGGTCTTCTTTATTTCTATAACTTTTATATTTTCCAGTGTTCACATCTTGCACTTTTTTTAGGGGAGGAGATTAAATTTATTCCTAAGTATTTTATTCTTTTTTTTTTTTTAAGAATCCATTTATTTATTTGTCAGAGAGAGAGAAAGAGAGCGAGTGCACATGCAGGGTGAGGGGCAGAGGGAGAGAGAGAAGCAGGCTCCCCACCAAGCAGGGAGCCCAATGCTGGACTCCATCCCAGGACCCCAGGATCATGACCTGAGCTGAAGACAGCTGCTTAAGCAGCTGAGCCACCCAGGCGCCCTAGGATTCTCTATGTACAAGATCATGTCATGTGCAAATAGGGACAGTTTTACTTTTTTTTAAAGAAAAGAGTGGAATTTAATCTTTATTTACAGGACACTGCAAGAGAGGAGATTCCACATAGAAATAAACCCATTGAGAGGAGGAGCTTCATAGAGGTTGTACAGTTTGGAACTGGTCAAGTAGTTTTGTTGTAAAAAGTGCTACAATAACAAAACACATTTAAAAAGGGTTCTTAGTAGAGAAACAGTAAGACAAACTTCTACCAAACAGAGTACACAACAA